CTGTCTGTCTCTCTCCCTCCCTCCCTCACAGGTAACAGGCGTTATTGTTTAAAGTTTAAACTCAGCTGTGCAAAGTTTAGAAAAGTTAATCGAGATTCTCTTAAAAAAACCCAAACAAATAAAGTTGTATGTTCTTTGCCATTTTAAACCACTTAAAATGTTAAAATTATACCAATAAACGCTTTAATAGTTTATCTAAACAACTTATTTTCCCTTCTTTCTCTAATAATAATGACAATAATATTAATAATAATAATACTATTAATGGTGGTATATTGTCAGTATAACTAGTACATGTGCATTCAAATGGTTAAAACAATGTTTAATAAAAGCTACAATACTTATTATTATCAATAATAAGAATACGAATAATATAAATTATTATTATTATTATTATTATTATTATTGTTATTGTTATTATATAATTCTATGTGTTTTTATTGCTTCCTCCGCAGTGGTAGGAAACCAGGCTTGGAGTCAGAGCGCTTGTAACAACGTGTGTCTGAGCCTGAGGGAAGGTTACCCGACACCAGTCAGGGCTGTAGAATAAATAATACAGCTCAGATTCAATGTAAACACCCATTAATAACTGATACTTTAAGACAGGTTTCTTTTTAATTCATTTAAACACACCCTAATATATTATTAAAAACTAAAAAAATGAATTATTCCAAATTAAAAAACACAATTAAACTGTTTTGTGGCGTTAATTATTTGTCTCTTATGTGTCTGTATATTTTTATTCCGTTATGTACATTTATATATTTATATATTCACATTAGAGAATAATCTGCTGGGATGGAGAGAGAACATTCACATTATCTGGCTGCAGTGTTTCTCTGTGTTTTTAATAAAATTACAGCTGTGGGTGCGTTTTCCCATCGAGCCACCAGGAGGAGGCGAACCCCGTCTCTCCTCATTAATTTACTCCTAATTAACAACCACACTGAGCACCAGACCTGCTCTGCAGCCTGTGTACCCCTCAGTGTCTGACTGTATAACAGTGATAAAGACAGAAGGAGGACTGAGAATGCGTCATTAGAGCTGAATTAGTGCAGACAGATGAAGAGATCCGATCCAGACTGGATGGTTCTCTTCCTTTAACCGGGTCCTTCAAGCGCCTCCGGATCCGGACTCTGGGGGTTCAGACATCCTTTTGGAGAGCACTCATTAATGTTTGTTTGCTCTCTCTGTCTGTTTGGGTCTCTGCCTTCTCTCTCTGCTCTCGGGGGGCCTTCCGGCTCCGGTCTGGTCCGACCGGGTCTGGTTGTGATGTGATTCGGGGATCCTGGTTCAGCACCGCGGACAGCGGTCCATTGACCCTCAGCTGCTCCTCTGAGCTCTAACATCTCTTAGTTTGAAACTCCAAAAACTACCGCCACACTTCATGTTTCATATGTCGGTAAAATAAATAAATACATAAATAAATAATACAATTAATTTGACAATAAATAAATCTTTGTGTCTCTGTAACAGAAAATACTGTATTTTTCCTAATTTACTGACCGTATTGTACCTAAAATAATATTTAGATTTCTATAATATTATCTTAAGCTGTAAGAAATAACCCATTTTAAATGTTGCAATGGTCGTATTGTAATATTTCCAACTATATTTGCTGTCGCTTTGTGTACAGAGAATTATTAGAAGAACAAATCAGTAATATCAGTGTTTAATCAGGCTTTGTTAGTCTAAGTCAGTTCCTCCTGAGGCCTAACAGCCTAATAATTGTTGCATATAGAAAACAGTCATTAAATATCTATATAAAGAATATTGGGAGCAGCAATTTAATTATAAATCATCTCAAATCTAAAAATCCTCATAAACGATAAATCACATCGTTATTAATGAAGTTTCACCCTGTTTTTAAATTCTAAATCTGATTTTTTTTTTTTTTAAAAAACATATTTAAAGTGAATTTTAAAGTACACTTACTGAGTCAGGACCCTGCGGTTGTCTTCCTCCTGATGAACCTCTCACAAGGTAACACTGTGTGATATCTTGTTGAGTAAATGGATCACTGAGGGTGGAGACAAAGCTAGTGAATGAAGAACTGGTCTCCCAGCCTCCTTTACTGGCAGGACCCACAGTTATTAGACCAGAACTCCAGCAGGTCTCCGTCCCCACTCCTGCCTTCACACAGCACATAAAACCAGATTATCTGACTTAATAACAACATTTCTGTAAACCTGTAATTACTCAAACTGATCACACATCAACTGTTTTTATGAATTTATCTGATCCACACACACTTCCTCTCTGTGTATCTCATATGTGTGTGAGTGTGTGTGTGTGTGTGTGTGGTCAGTGGTCGACCTGCTGATCCTGAACATCCCATGGTCATAAGACCGCTTAGTAACTTTTTGTTACTCATTAAATCTTTTGGTTTAAAGGATACTCTGTGCTTGAATGGCGACGATGAATTCCCTCCACAGTTTAATCCACAACAGCTCGAAAATCTCAGCTTTTTGTTTCTCCGGCAAGTTAATTAACGTCCAAAGACCTTAAAAATCATATTATTGTCATAAGACACGATGGGAAAATGCTGCTTCATCTGATAAAATCAGGTTTCTAAGTCAAAGATTAACCTAAAATAACAATAACACAACTTCCTCCATTAGTAATCTTTATTTTCTGCAATGTGATCCTTTTAACACAAATATCTATTCAATGGAATTCAGGTTTATTTATTCATTTATTTGTCTTTTTTCCACTATTTGTCAGCTGCGTATGAACAATCAGACCCTTGTAGTGAACAATGTAGTATCACACATACTGTATCCGCTTGAGGCTGCATATCATTAAAGAACCATTTTATTAGAGCACACCCATTAATTGTTCAAAGATATCTGTGCAGTTTCATGCTCTATTTCTGTATAACACTCCCTAAATACAGCCTTTAAACCCACATATGTTTGTGTTTTGGATGCCGAGCCTTTTAGGTAATCCCCTCAAAGGTGCAGTGAGGTGAGTGTAGCTGCAGAAGGACCTGTAGGGTAGTCGGGCCCTCGTCGTGGGCCCCCCTAAAGAAAAACCTCCTCACTATGCAAAGCAAATGCAGTTTCAACACCAGTTTCCCTTCCTGCGTGACTGACAGCTCAATTGCTCATCGCGTGTGAGTGAGCATGGAGGTCAGGGAGGAGCTCGGGAAGGTGTGTGCAGGTGATGATTTGCTCAGACAGTAAAGGTACAGTTACATTGTTAAGTTCCAGCCTGGCAGGGCAGCGATCACGTCTGATTCCAACAACATTTCTCACATTCAGAGCATAGTTTTTGTGTACACAGGAAATGAGAGTCAGCCATATGAGGAAATTACATCATCCTTGCAAAATGGGAATGATAAATGAAAGGGGCCATTACTTTGATTTATGTCTGTAATTAGTGGGAGCATGCACAGGACCTCGGGAAGAGCTGCGCGCCTTTTACAGCACTTACGGGGGCTTATCTTGGTCTCCGAATCAATGCATGTGAACTTCTGGGGAAAACAGAGGAACAGAGGATGGGGGGAACTGCCCGAGGCTATTCTAAAGGTGCAGAGCAGTCACGCACATGTGCTTCATCATAAGGGTGACAACTGAAGGGAAAGCCACTGACAACTTCACTAAACAACAGGTCTACCTCCGTGTGCTTGTCAGGGTTAGGCGTAGAATAGAGCCGCTAACCCACTTGGATTTGGTTAAGCTTTTTAAGCGTGGTTCTTTCAAAACATGCATGCAATTAAACGATATAGTCACATTTACAGAGGTGGGACGTAACATAGATACCTACTGGTACTGTGTACTTAAGTAGTTTCTTTACTTATTCACTTTTTACTTTTATATTTTCACACAAATATCTTTCTACCTGACAGGTTCAAAATAGGCTTGTTACTTTAGATTTAATGCATTTGAAAGGAATATTGGACTGGTTTTTTTGCACCATCGCATGCCTTTCCAACATCAAGACCAATGCACATCATGTATGACAGAAAAAGACCAAAAAGATGTAATGACATAAAGATGAAACAGACAGGAGAGTTCAGTTCTCTTTGCACAGAAACAGCAGGTACTCTCTTGACTACTCATTCACAGTATGTATTGTATTTATTTGTATGGTTGTCTCTGTCTACCCAGATTGATTCATAAATCGCTGAATTTATTTTAATTTAACTTAACAATAAAAACCTCATTTACCTGAACATGATATTTTAATTTACTAAAGTCCAATGCAAGATAAACATAAAAACAGAGTGTGCATAATTACATAGTGGAGACATTGTGCTTTTCTGATTATGTTAACAAAAATGAACAATGATTTCTGTTGCACTGCAAAGAAATGTGCTCAATTACTTTATTAACACCTTTAAACCAACAACTGGTAGCCTGTTATGTCAGTCCAAATCAGTTTTATTTATTTTTTAAGGAATGATTTAATGTTACACTCAATAAAGGGACAGTTTGAGCCACCGAGCTTTGTAGATATCAGCCATAGAGATGTCGGCCTTCTCTCAACTATAATGGAACCAGACGGCACTCGGCTCTCTTGTGAGCAGTTTCATGTAGGAACTATTTTCTGTCTACTGAACTACATCCACCAACGTTAGCTATCTCAGAGGTGTGCTAGGTGCAGCTCAGCTCAGGAGGACGCCGTTAATGTCGAGCACAAGCCTCTCGTCCACGATATGTAGGGAAAAAGTAGTTTTTGATGTCTGGATTAAATGACTGTGTGTCATTTGAGAGGAGTTTTCACAGTGAATTATCTCCCAGCTCTACGTTTCAGCATATTTCAGCTGTGTTGGTTTTAGTTTTACACCCAAACTTATTTTGCTTTAGTCCCA